ATGTCGGGAGTTGAAGTCCAACAGACCTTAACAAAGCGGCTGAAGTTGCCAAACCACAACCGCAAAGAATTGGAAGAAGACTTCGTTCCAAGCGGCTGACAATACGAGAGAGGCAAAGGAGGTTTGCTGCCCCAACGGGGCTAGGAAGAGATGCATATTTGATTTTCCCCCCCCCCCCCCCAAAAAAAGAAAAAAAGGGCATTTTATCTTTAACCCAAAAGCTCCCGTTGCGTGCAGGTGTCTGTCGCGGAGAGGTGTGCAACGCCCTTGGCTCCCGACGGCTCTGCACGAGAGTCAGGTGTTTGGCCTCGGTTGCACCTCCGCCCAGCAAGGCGCAGCTCCCGAGAGTTGCACAGCTGCCGTTTCCCAGGCAAACGCGCAAGCTGTGTGGGGCTGCCCAGCAAGCCCGGGCATGTATCCTTCGCTCTTCTAGATGCAACCCCGGGCGAGTCTCGAGTTGCGTTCCAGCCCGGAGCAGCTGGCCCCGCGCCAGGGGCGGAGAGGTGGGAGGGGGGCTGTCCAAGGCATTTTCAAAGCGTTGTCTCGCTCAAATCCTGGGATTCCCCAAACTTGACGAGTTTTAAGACTTGTGGACTTCAACTCCCAGAATTCCTGAGCTAGCATGACTTGGGAGGAGGAATTCTGGGAGTTGAAGTCCACAAGTCTTAAAAGTTGCCAAGTTTAGAGACCTCTGCCCTAATCGATATATTTCCATTTGTAAATTAGCGGAGTCCCGAATTCTCAGGATATAAAAGTAGCAGGACATAAAAGCTTGCCTTCAGAAGTTGTGGGAGCTTCATCGCTGGAAGCTTGCCAGAAGAGTCTGGACTGCCATCTGTCAGAAATGGTGGAAGGTCTCCAGCTTGGGCTGGGGGGTTGGACTAGATGACCTACAAGGTCCCTTCCAACTATAATTCTATTCTATTATTATTTTGATTTGATATTATTATCCTATTCTACTCTATTCCTATTCTATTCTAATTTTATTCTATTCCTATTGTGTTCCCATTCTATTCTTATGTTATTCTATTCCTATTTTATTCTATTCCTATTCTATTATTATTCCTATTCTTATTTTATTCTATCCCTAATTTATTCTATTATTCTATTCTATGATTATTCTATTCTATTCCTATGAGTAGGATCGATCGATCAATCCATACGGAGCAGCTCTCCTTCAGAAATTGTGGCGCTGCCTCATCACTGGAAATTTTCCAAAAGAGAGTGGACTTCCAGCTGTCAGAAATGGTGGAAGGTCTCCTTGGGCTGGAAGTTGGAGGGCAGGGGGGCAAGGGGTTAGACTAGATGACCTACAAGGTCCCTGCCAACTCCGTTATTCTAGTAGTTGCAGGATACCCACACTCTGCATTTAACACTGAAAGGAGAGGGGCTAGGTTCTCATGGGGGACCCCAGAGATGGGGTCGCCTCCAAAGCTTTCACTGAGGGGGGGAGGGCTCCTGCTCCAGCCCCCCCCCCCCATTTTGGCTGCCTTGCCTCCTTAGCCCATTGGGGGGGATAGGGGGTGGCAAGTCGGACTCAGCTCTGTCCGCCCCCTTTTTCCCAGAACAAAGCTGGCAGACTTAAGAATAAGAAAGCACCTGAAGAGTTAACTAAAAACAAAATTGATTTTGTCCCGGAATTATTCCTCTTAGGAATAATTTAAAAAAAAAACTATAACAGAAAGATTAAATATCTTATATTATATATATTAACAGCAGCAAGAATTTCATATGCTCAGTACTGGAAGGAAAACTCTATACCACCTGAAGGTTTAATAATAAAAAAAATTTTTAGTGTGTGGCAATGGATAAATTCAATTTCCTTGTGTGTCCAATCACACTTGGCCAATAAAGTATTCTATTCTATTCTATTCTATTCTATTCTATTCTATTCTATTCTATTCCATTCCATTCCATTCCATTCCATTCCATTCTATTCTATTCTATCTATGAAATTAAAAGGGAAAACAGACACAGAATACAACACAGTATGGGAAACATGGTTTATTTGGATAGATAATAGATATAAAAATAGACAATGTAAATAACGTAAATAATAAATAGGAAGGTATGAAAGTACTCTGCATTGTAAGTTTTGATAGGACACATAAATGTATATATAATGTCACAGCGCTGTTTAATAACTATTGGTATTATGCATAAATGGAAAAAACATTCAATAAAGCATTATTTTAAAAAAGTATAAGCAAGCCTCCACCCCCACCTCCCAAATCTCGGGATTTCCTGGCGGCTGAGCCCCCTGCAAGGACCAGCCTACAGGGGCTGGGGAGCCTCCCCTCTCCGCGCCCAGCAACGAGGTCTCTCCTCCTAATTGGCCCGCCAGCTTCACCCCGGGAGGGGAACCCGGGAAGCGCCGTCAGAAGTCGAACACGAGCAGCCGCCGCCGCAACCGCGGCAGCAGCAGCAGCGCAAAAGGGGGCAGGGAGAGGGAGGCGCAGGCACCGCGGCCCCCTTGCCAAACAGCGCCAGCAGCGCCAGCAGCAGCAGCAGCAGCTCTTTTGGCTGCCTTCCCCGGCTGGGCAGGGCCAGGAAACCCGGCCACCCTCGGGCGGGCCGGGAGCAGCAGCCCCAGCCTTGCGGAGGGCGCTCGGACAAGGCTGGCGGGTGGGGGTGGGCGAGCTCCGGAGCCCCTTGGAGCTGAGCCGCACCGCCCGAAGCCGAAGGCGCAACGCGGCGCGTCCGCGGACCTTGCCTGCCTCCCCGGTCCGGGTTCGAGCGGCCGTGGTGGACGCGTGGCTGGGCGAAGCCAGGGGGGTGGCGGAGGCCGAACTCCGGCGAAGCGGCGCCCCGCGGGAGTCGGAGCCCCGATGGAGGCGGCGGCAGTGGCGGCGGCGGCGGCGCCTTTCCCGCATCCTCTGGCTCCCGAACCCGGTCCCGGTTTGGGTCCGGTCCGGCCGGGCGGCGAGAAACGTTTCCGACTCTGGTACGTGGGTTGCACCAGCCTGGACCGGCGAGCCACGCTGCCTATGTTGCCTTGGCTGATGGCCGAAGTCCGTCGGCGCAGCCAGAAGCCAGAACCGGGCGCGGCGGTGGCGGCGGCTCGGGAGGTGCTGCTGCTCCTGGGCGCGCCCACCCTCCGCTGCGTGCCCTCCTCGCCCGGCGGCGCCCCCGGCTCGGCCGTCTTCATCTTCGAGCACAAAGCGCAGCACATCTCGCGCTTCGTCCACAACAGCCAGGACCTCACCTACTTCGCCTACCTGATCAAGGCGCAGCCCGACGACCCCGACTCGCCCGTCGCCTGCCACGTCTTCCGAGCCACCGACCCCAACCAGGTGGGAGACGGGGGGAGCGGGGCGCCTTGAGGTCCTCCAGCACCACCCCCCTCCGCTTTCCAGATGGGGTTGTGGCCTTCTGAGCTTTTAGCTTCCCAATTAGTTTCTTTCTTTTTATTATTCTTTCTTTCTTTTTCCTGGCCAGCATCCCCAGGGGGAGAGGTTGGACCTAGAGACAAACCAGATGCCCCGGCTGCTGTGGACCAGACCCCTCCCCACCCCACCCCACAATTATAGGTGGGGTGAGGAGATTTGAGGGTGGGGTTACTAATCCGAGATGGGTGTGGGCCTAGATAGCAGGATGACCTGGCTAGGGGAGTCTTGGCCAATGGTGGCAGATTCCCCCCAATGACAAGTGTGTGTGTGTGTGTGTGAGAGAGAGAGAGAGAGAGGGAGTGGGGGAAGAGGGGGATAGAGAGAGGGGAGGGAGAAAGGGATGGTGAGAGAGGGAGAGAGGAGGGAGGGAGAGAGGAAAGGGAGGGAGAGAGTGGAGAGGAGAGGGGGAGTGAGTGAGTGTGAGTGTTTGAGGGAGAGGGGGAGGGAGGAAGGAATACAGACCCAAATAGCCCTTGGATGGAGAGAGCAGGAGATTCAAGGCCTCTAGGCTAGCTAGATGGGAACATGGCAAAACCTTGCTGGAAGAAGCCAGAGGAAACTTATCTTGAACTGTGGCCCAGAAAGTTGAATGCATGCACATCCGTGTGATTCCTGGAATCAAGCACGCTTGAGGGAGATGGCTTGAGCAAGGCAGGAACCTCCCTGCGGCCTCTTCACCTGCTGGATGAGCGGGAAGGCAGAGGGAAGGCAGGTTCACTTGAACCTGACTGGTGGCTTCACACTTGGGTATCATTTTTGCGCTTAGTCTCACCCGGACTGCAACTCCCCTTCCTCAAACCGAAGTAGGACTGGGTTATATCATTACTCTTGCTTGCCTGTAGCTCTGAGCTCAAGAACCACTCCGGATAGGCCTCTCCTCTTTTTTTGGCCAACAGTATCCCAACTGGCTGGCAGTTGAGATGTTCCTTCCCTTGACAGCTTGAAGACTTGTGGACTTCAATTCCCAGAATTCCTCCTCCAGTTATGCCAGCTCAGGAATTCTGGGAGTTCAAGTCCACAAGTTTTAAACTTGCCGTGTTTGAAGACCCTTGCGTTAGAATATCCTCTAAACCAGAGAATCCGTGGAATGCGGTGTATACAGGGTTCCTTAGACCAGAAAGGAGCTGCATCTTGGAACAGACTGAAAAAGGTGTCTCGATTGTGTTTTGCATATATTCAGGTAAAAGAAACACAGAATAACAGAGTTGAGAGGGACTTTGGAGGTCTTCTATTCTAACCTATTGCTCAGGTAATCTACCATTCCAGACAAATACTTGTCCAATCTCTTCTTAAAAACTTCCAGGGTTGGAGCACTCACAAACTTCTGGAGACAACTCCGTTCTACTGATTAACTGTTCTCGCTGTCACGAAGATTGCTTCTTGATTAGTTTCCATCTCCAACCTTGGCAACTTTAAGACACGTGGACTTCAACTCCCAGAGTTCTACTTTGCTGGCTGAGGAACTCTGGGAGTTGAAGTCCACAAGTCTTAAAGTTGCCAAGGCTGGAGACCTCTGCTTTGCAGAATAGCTTCACCTTCTCTTCTTTGTGGCAGCCCCTTAGATCAGAGATCCCCAACCCCACGATCCATGGACTGACACTGGGCAGTGGCATACCAACAACCGGGCTGCACAAGCAAGTGAAGCCCCATCCAAATGCAAAATGCATGCAAGCCGCGCCCCCTCTGGAAGTCATGGAACCAGTCCTTAAAGTTGCCAAGGTTGGAGACCCCTGGGCTAAAGGTCTAAAGGTAAAGGTTCCCCTAGCACATATGTATTATTCGTTTCTGGCTCTAGGGGGCAGTACTCATCTCCGTTACAAAGCCGAAGAGCCAGTGCTGTTGGAAGACGTCTCCATGGTCATGAGGCCAGCATGACTAAACATCGAAGGTGGACAGAACCCTGTTTACCTTCCCACCAAAGTGATTCCTATTTTTCTACTTGCATTTTTACATGCATTCGAACTGCTAGGTTGGCAGAAGTTGGAACAAGTAACGGAAGCTCACTCTGTTACGCAGTGCTAGGGATTCGAACCGCTGAACTGCTGACCTTTCTGATTGACAAGCTCAGCGCCTTAGCCACTTCCTGCAACCGTTCTTCATATGGTTTATCTTCCAGTCCCCTAATCGTCTTTGTTGCTCTTCTCTGCACTCTTTCTAGAGTCTCGACAACTTTTTAATATCGCGGTGACCAAAGCCGGATGCAGTATTCCAACACGGGTTCCACGGGTCCATCCATTAGTGTTCCTGTTCCATTGAGAGCAAAATGGTGGCCTTTCCCTCTCTGTGATATCTTTCAGGATCTGTTTGCTGGCCAGGATATGTGCAGAAAGGAAGGCAGATGGGTTTGGGGAGCGGCTTTTTTTTTAATGATTTGAGGAAAACAGCTGAGTTTCAGCCCTTTGACATGGAAGCATTGCAGGAGAAGCAAGCTGACATCCTTATTCTCTTCCTGGAATAAAATCAGACATGTGAACTGGGTGAGTATAGAAAGGAAGGAACTCTCTTGCCTGCCCCCTCTCATCATTTTACAGATTAGTAAAGTTGGAAAAGACCTTGGTCATCTAGTCCAATCCCCCACCCAAGCAGGAGACCCTACACCATTTCTGATAAATGGCAGTCCAATCTCTTCTTGAAAGCCTCCAGTGATGAAGCTCCCACAACTTCCGAAAGCAACTTCGGTTCCATTAGTTGATTGCTCTCCCTTTCAGAAACTTTTTCCTTCTTTCTAGGCTGATCAGTTTCCATCCATTATTTCTTGTCTGGCCTTCAGGTGCTTTAGAAAATAGCTTGATCCCTTCCTTCTCTCTGTGGCAGCCCCTCAAATATTGGAAGACTGCGATCATGTCTCCCCTGGTCCTTCTCTTCACTAGACTAGCCAGGCCCAGTTCCTGCAACCATTCATCATATGTTTTAATCTCCAGTTCCCTAGTCATCCTGGTTTATTTGTCAATTGCTTGCAAGATAATAGGTATAAGTAAAAACATAGTTATGAATACATGGATACATATAAGAAAAATTAAAAAATAAAAGAAACAATAGGACAGGGACGGTAGGCACGTTGGTGTGCTTATGCATGCCCCCTACAGACCTCTTAGGAAAGGGGTGAGGTCAATAGTAGACAGTCTAAGGTTAAAGTTTTTGGGGTTTGGGGAAGAAACCACAGAGTCAGGTAGAGTATTCCAGACATTGACCACTCTGTTGCTGAAGTCGTATTTCCTGCAATCAAGTTTGGTGCAATTAACCTTGAGTTTGTATCTATTGTTTGCTCTTGTGTTGTTATGGTTGAAGCTGAAGTATTCATTGACAGGTAGGACATTGCAACATATGATTTTATATACTATACTTAGATCGGACCGAAGATGGCGTAGTTCTAGGTTTTCTAGAATTTCGAGTCTGGTGGCATAAGGTATTCTGCAACGAGTAGAGGAGTGGAGAACTCTTCTTGTGAAATATTTCTGGACTTTCTCAACTGTGTTAATATCAGATACTTAATGTGAGTTCCAGACTGATGAGCTGTATTCGAGTATGGTCTTGCAAATGTTTTGTATGTTTTAGTTATTAGTGTAATATTACCAGAGAAAAAGCTACGTAAGATTAGGTTAACAACTCTTAATGCCTTTTTGGCTGTGTAGTTACAGTGGGCTCTAGTATTTAGGTCATTAGAGATGAGTATTCCAAGGTCCTTGACAGAGTTTGGATCATCAACAAGGTCTTGACTATTCAGCCTGTATTTTATTTTCTGCTTTTTTTGCCGATATGTAGGACAGAGCATTTATTTGTTGAGATTTGAAGTTGCCATTTGTTTGACCATTCTGATACATAGTCGAGGTCTTTTTGAAGGGTAGCAGTATTGTCTGTGGTGTTGAATAGCTTTACATCTTGATATGATCACAGAGGTCAATTATGTAGAGTATGAAAAGAGTTGGTCCTAGAACACTGCCTTGGGGGACACCACTGTTGACCGTACAGAATTTGATAGGATGCTCCCAATTTTGACCATTTGTTGTCTGTTTGACAGGAATGCTTCTATCCAGTAATGCAGGTGTCCAGATATACCGTAGGATTTTAGTTTTAGGAGTAGTTTGTCGTGTACCACTGAATCAAAGGCTTTACACAAGTCTATGTAGATTGCGTCTATTGCTTTGCCCTGATTGGGTTATGTAGTCCATATGTTTTTGCAGTATAAGAGGTACAGATTACATACTAGTTTTTTCCTGAAACCAAATTGTTTATTAGAGAGTAGGTTGTTTGTTTCTAAGTGGAAAATGATGGATTGGTTAATAATTGATTCCATGACTTTACAGGTGACGCAGCATAAAGTGATCGGTCTGTAATTTTCAACTAGGCTGGGGTCTCCCTTCTTGAAGATGGGGATGACCGTGGTTTGTGACCATAGTTTTGTCAAGGAGCTGGTCCTGAAAGATTTTTCAAAGATTATGCTTAGAGGTTTGGCTATGGCAATGGGTAGCTTTTTTAAGAAGTAGGCACATATTCCGTTGCTCTTCTCTGCCCTTTTTCTAGAGCCTCAACATCTTTTTTATAGTGTGGTGACCAAAACTGGATGCAGTACTCTAGGTTGTGGTCTTACTAAGGCTTTACAGAATGGTTGCAGGGACCCCACTGTTAAATGCTTCAAGAGAGGGAGGGAGGGAGGGAGGGAGGGAGGGAGAGAGAGAGAGAGAGAGAGAGAGAGAGAGAGAGAGAGAGAGAGAGAGAGAGAGAGAGATGGAAAAATATTCTGGGAAGAATTCAAATTGCCCTCAAATGCTTCTGTAACCCAAAATATCACTTCCTTTTTTTAAAAAAAACTTCCTCAATTAAGTCCTTTAATAGCACACCAGGCAAAAATGGCCTCCCCTGGCTCTGGAGGCTCTCTGGAAGCTGGAAATAAGCCTTTTTTTCTG